ATGGAAGCCCATTAAAGGAGGGCCCAGGAATATAATCATTTATATAAAACGATGTCGTTGTAGTCAGGAGGAGGGAGAGGAAGATAACGGTCAACGGGAAAATGGAAGGCGCGTCAAATACTCAACCATTAAAATTACGGTTGTGGTCGGCAAATCCATTTTCGTCTCCGTAGCGAAACCGTAGAATACATAACCATCCTCTCTTCGTCACCGGCGTAGAATCGCAGCCACTTGCTAACCTACGCACCTCCGTCGTTTCTTCTCTCTCTCACTCTTATCTCATGGCTGTCTCAGTCTCAGCTCCGGTCTTGTTCCTCTGTTACCATCAGAACGGAGAATTGTCTCGTCGTTTCGGACACAGACGATCGAAGCGATTTAGTTCCGGTCCTCGTTCACTGAGCTTCGGTGTGGAGAAGGTTGGAAAATCGAGGGTTAGGGTTCCGATTTGCAGAGCCGTGCCTCCCCTCTTGTTCAAAGATCTCGATGCTGATGATTTCCGACATCCTCTAGATAAGCAGGTCTTTCAAAATTCTCCCATTTTGTTTGACGAGTGAAATTATCTGATTCGTCGCTTGAATCGAATGTAATCGTCTTTTATGCTGCAGAACACATTGTTACTAAGAGCAATTCCGGGGTTGAACGAATTCGGGAAAGCTATTTTAGGTGTGAATTTTGTCAGAAAGAAGCTCTTTCTTGTTTATTGGAACAAAAGGCTTTGATTTGATTTGATTTAATCGATTGTTGTAGGGTCAATGACGGAACAGATCATGCTTCTTGAGAACATTGGGACTTCTGTTCTTGTCTCCAAGAATCAGGTTAAGTTTTTTTCCATCAATTGTCTTGTGGAGATTATCTTTTGGCCTATCAACAATGAGACATGATGATTGTTGTATTTGCTGTCTCAGCTCTCTGATCTTCATGGTTTGTTGGTCGAGGCAGCTGAGATTTTGAACATAGAGGCTCCCGATCTCTATGTCCGACAAAGCCCTGTTCCAAACGCGTATACACTGGCAATAAGCGGTAAAAAGCCTTTTATTGTCGTTCATACCAGCTTGATCGAACTTCTGACTCGCGAGGAGCTACAGGTTCGTACTCTTCTCTGCATTACAACTTCTATGTTCTTTTTATTGAGAACCACACTTTTGAACTTAACCATAGATACTAATATTGGCTAATCAGGACTTTGGTTTCAGTTTCACATATCAGCTAATTGTACCAAAGTCTGACAGTTTTTACCTCGAAATTAGGCTGTCTTGGCCCATGAACTAGGTCACCTGAAGTGCGATCACGGCGTGTGGCTCACATTTGCAAATATTCTTACTCTTGGGGCATATACAGTTCCTGGTAGGTACCACATTGTTGCAAATCGCTAGTATATTCTGTTCTGTGTCAGTCTGACAAATTATAGTGACTTCATTCCTAAAATCTGTTAGCCGAGAAAAAGGAACTAACAGAATTTCAATATGCAGTGCTAAGTTGAACTCTGTTGTTTGTAGCTTTTGGGCAAATGATAGCTCGAACCTTGGAAGAACAGTTGCTTCGTTGGCTACGTTCAGCCGAGCTGACTTGTGACCGTGCAGCACTTCTTGTTGCCCAAGACCCAAAGGTACCAATTCTAGAAACCATTGAAGAAACTAAATAAAGAAAAAGAATGTTTCAAGTCAGGGTAATATATTCAGTGATGTTTTCCTCTTCTTATAATCTGTCTCATGGTGCCTCCAAGAGGTTGTTGTATCCGTTCTGATGAAATTAGCTGGAGGGTGTCCATCAATTGCTGATCAGCTAAATGTTGATGCGTTTCTAGAACAAGCCCGTTCATACGACAAAGCTTCTTCAAGCCCCTTGGGGTGGTACATAAGGTGAGACTTAAATTATACAAAAGTGTGTGTGAAAATTTTGATTGTTCTACCTGATGATCCACTCATGTTCGTTTACATATTTTCATTTTCTTTACAGAAATGCTCAGACTAGTCAACTGTCGCATCCATTGCCAGTTCTACGTGCACGTGAGATTGATGAATGGTCCAGGAGTCTCGAGTACAGGAGTCTCCTGAAACGGGCAAATCGAATAAGCACAGTGCAGAAGGCTTAGTGGTGTTGTAAAATACTCGGAAAGGAAAAGAAATAATCAACGCAAATAGGTATAGGTAAGATTCATATAAGCACACATATCTATATGAATTTGAGATTTTGCTTTTGTGGGTCGTTCAAGATTTCTCTTTAATTCTTAGACAGGGACAATACAGATGGAGC